GGAAATTTATTGCATTAGACTCCTATATTCCAAAAACAGACAGATAGCACATCAACAAACTCATAAACCATCTTAGGGAATAGGAAAAAAACTGTCTAATCCTAAACCCAGAAGAAGAAAAGAAATAACCAAAGTTACATTACAGAATAATGAAATTGAAAACAAAAGAATCCTTCAGGAAATTAAAGGAACAAAAAGTTGGCTTTTCAAAAAAATAAATGAAATTGATAAACATTTGGCCCAATTAACTAGAAATAGAAAAGTAATATCTCTAAGAATCTTAATCAGAAACAACAAAGAGGAAATAACAACAGATGACACAAAGATACAAGAGATCATCCCTGAGTACTACAAGAAACTCTATGCTCAGAAATTGAACAATGTGGAGGAAATGGATCAATACCTGGAATCACACCCTTCCCCTAGACTTAACCAAGAAGAAATAGATCCTTGAATAGACCAATATCAAAACTGAGATCAAAGAAACAATAACAAATCTCCCAACAAAAACATGCCCTAATCCAGATGGCTTCACAGGAGAATTTTATGAAACCTTGAAAAAAGAGCTTACACCCATACTGCAGAAATTATTTCAAAAAAACTGAGAAAGAAGGACTCTTCCTTAACACATGCTATGAAGCAAACTTCACCCTGATACCAAAATGAGGGAAATACACAACTACAAAGGAGAACTTCAGACCAATTTCACTAATGAATATAAATGCAAAAATTCTCAATAAAATCCTAACCAACAGGCAGCTCCCATTGCTCAGTGGGTAAGGCGCAGGCCACATACACCAAGGCTGGCAGGTATGAACCTGGACCAGGCCAGCTACACAACAATGTTAATAACCTCAAAAAAAAAATAAGGCACTAGCCACATACAGCTGAGCTGGTGGGTTTGAAACCAGCCCAGGCCCGCCCCCAAATGATGGCTGCAACCAAAAAATATCTAGTGTCGTGGCGAGTCTCAGCTAATTGGGAGGCAAAGGCAGGAGAACCGCTTGAGCCCAGAAGTTGGAGGGTTGCTGTGAGCTGTGATGCGACTCACTTTACCCAGGGTGAAAGCTTGAGGCTCTGTCTAAAAAAAAAAAAAAGCCAGATATTGTGGTAGGCACCCATAGTCTCAGCTACTTGGGAGGCTGAGGCAAGACAATCACTTAAACCCAAGAGTTTGAGGTTGCTGTGAGCTGTGATGCCACAGTACCCTACCAAGAATGACAAAGTGAGACTCTGTATAAAAAAAAAAAAAATAGCCAGGCATTGTGTTGGACACCTGTGATACCAGCTACTTGGGAGGCTGAGGCAAGAGAATTGCTTTAGTCCAAGAGTTAGAAGTTGCTGTGAGCTGTTATGCCATGACGCTTTACCCAGGGTGACAGCTTGAGACTGTCTCAAAAAATAAAACAAAAAAATGCTAGCCAATAGATTGCAGCTACACATTAAAAAAAATTCATCATGATCAAGTAGGTTTCATCTCAGGGATGCAAGGCTGGTTTAACATGTACAAGTCTACAAACGTAATTCACCAAATCAACAGAAGGAAAAACACAGACCATTTGATTCTCTCAATAGATGCAGAAAAAGCATTTGATAAAATTCAGTATCCTTTTGTAATGAGCACACTTAAGAATAGAGACATAGGTGACACATTTCTTAAACTGATCGAAGCTATCTATGACAAATCCACAGCTAATATTATATGGAATAGAGTAAAACTGAAAGCTTTTCCACTTAGAACTAGAACCAGACAGGGTTGTCCTCTATAACTATTACTGTTCAATGCAGTGCTGGAAGTTCTAGCCAATATAATCAGTCAAGAGAAGAAAATAAAGGGCATTCAGTTGGGGGCAGAGGAGGCCAAAGTCTCGCTCTTTGCCAATGATGTGATCTTATGCTTAGAGAACCCCGAAGACTCAACCACAAGACTTTTGGAAGGATCAAGAAATATAAAAATACTGAGGATATAAAATCAATGTCCACAAATCAATAGCCTTTGTATATACCAGCCAAGAAGAGAGGCTAATCAAGGACACAATTCCCTTCACAGTAGCTTAAAAAAATAAAATAACTAGAAATATGCCTAACCAAAGAGGTGGAGGACCCCTACAAAGAAAATCATAAAACCATAAGAAAAGAAACAGCAGAAGATATTAACAAAGAGGACAACATACCATGCTCTTGCCTGGGAAGTATCACTATTGTCAAAGTACAGATTTAATGCAATCCCCATGAAAATACCATCATCATGGTTTCAAGATTTGGAAAAGATCATTCTTTGTTTTATATGGAACCAGAAACAGGCAATTCTTAGTAATAGAAACAAAACCTGGGTTAGCACCCTACCAGACTTGAGGGTATACTACAACTCCATAGTGATCAAATCAGCATGGTATTGGCACAAAAATAGAGGCATTGACATTTGAAACGGAATAGAAAACCATAAGATGAAACTAACATCTTACAGTCACCTGATATTTGAAAAACCAAACAAGAACATACACTGGGGAAAAGAATCCCTATTTAATAAATAGTGTTGGGAGAAGTGGATAACCACATGTAAGAGACTGAAAATGGACCCGCACTTGTCACCACTCACAAAAATTTATTCAAGAGGAAGACTTCCATGGCAATTGCAACAACAACAAAAATAAACAAATGGGACTTAATGAAACTGAAAAGCTTCTGTACAGCTAAGGAAACAATAAACAGAGCAAATAGACAACCTACAGAATTGGAAAAGACATCCACCTGTTATGAATCCAAAAAAGATTAATAAGTAGGACACACAGAAACCTCAAATTAGTCAACAAAAAAGACCCCCTAATCCCATATATCACTGGGCAAGAGACATGAATCAAACCTGCTGTAATGAAGACAGATGAATGGCTAATAAACATACGAAAAAATGCTCATCATAACCAATCATCAGAGAAATGCAAATCAAAAGTATTGTGAGATATCACCTAACCCCAGTGAGAATGGTCCACATCATAAAGTCTCAAAGCTATAGATGCTGGTATGGATGTGGAGAGAAGGAAACACTTTCATACAGCTAGTGGGACTGCAAACGAATACAGCCTTTTCAGAAGGATGTCTTGAGAGTCCTCAAAGAACTCAAATTTGACCTCCCATTTGATTCTGCAATCCCATTACTAAACATCTACCCAGAATTAAAAAAATCATTTTATCATATGGACATAAGCTGTCCCCCTGGGTATAATTCTGTGGCATCACAGCTCACAGCAACCTCCAACTCCTGGGCTCAAGCGAGTCTCC